AGCCAGGTGGAGCCTGAACCCTCGGAAGTGCCACAAGAGAAGGTTGAGCCTAGTTTTCTCATCCCTGAAGATGTGTGGGAGCAGCACAGGTCCCTGCATCAAGGGGACGTTGCCCCTCATGCCCATGCTCACTTTCTCTACTCCGTAGCCTTTCGGCTCAATCCTGGCCACTTCCATCTCGTGAGCGCACTGTTTTCTCAATGGGTCAACACTGTCGAGGATGTCATGTATGCTTATCATCAGGTCGTGCCATCTGAGGGCCCTCGACGGGGCACTGGATGTTCTTTCGTGGAAGAGTCAGTCAAGCAGAGCTCGCGATCTAGAGTTGCTCCGTTGAGAGATCAAGCTGCATGTTGGTGGAAACGTGTTGCATCTATCCTCTCACAGTTCGAGCGGCATCGTGGGCGAGATAATGGTCGTTATCAGTTGGGTCAGTTGCAGCAAGCAGCCAGGCACCTTGCTACCGAGAAGCCCGATGGAGTTGATAAGATTCTGTTGAGCCAAAAGGAGGTGGGGATTCAAGTCTGGACGGGTTTGCTCCTGTACTTAGCTGACGCGCGCAATATGGTGATTTTTAGTTTTCAACAACAGGCGGACAAGCTCTCTAAACGCGCCCTGCGACGGGCGGTGCGAGAGTCCTTGTGGGAATTTCGGTCTTGGATTACTTCTCAGGAGGACTTGGGAACGCCGCGCAGGGGTATGCGAGAAGAATCACCTCCAGCCGAGGAGGTTTGGTATGGCAGTACTTTTCTGGTGCACCCCAAGGGTATCTTAGATCGTAAGTGCAAGGTATGGAAGGAGCTCAGGACTTCTGCAGGTCGACGTGGAGAAACTACGTGGTGGTGTTCTACGGAAGCGTCAGAGCCGAGCTATCGACTGGGAGGCTCTGTGCCATGCTTTGCCGAGGCGTCAGAGCTGAGCGGTGGGCGCTCCTCGAACCCAACCGTCTCTCAAGTCGCCAAGGTTTTGTCGGGGGCATTCCAGGCCACGTCATGTTTGGCTGAGGCGTCAGAGCCGAGCGCTGGGTGCTCCTCGAGCCCATGCGTCTCGCATGTCGCTAGCGTTTTGCTGGAGGCCTTTCAGGTCATACCATCTGGGGCGTCAGAGCCGAGCGCTGGGTGCTCCTCGAGCCCATGCGTCTCTCACGCTGCCAAGGTTTTGTCGGATGCTTCATGTGTTGCGTCGGTTGGGTTAGAACGCATTGTTTTCGCTGGCGCTTCTCAGGATGAACGACTTGCCGAAGCTTTTGCTGCCATCAAGGAGGCGGCGCGTGACGAGCCCATGGGGCCCATCACCGCTGAACAAGTGCGTAGTACGGTTCACCGCATGCGTACCAGGGCAGGACTAGGTGCTGATCGTCTTTCTCCGCTCGATGTGGAACGGCTACCGCAGGCAGGTTTCGAGGAGCTTGCGGAGCTGTGGAACGTGGGGAGACATTTTTGCGGGGAAGACCTTTGGCAAGGCACAGATGTAGTATCTCTGCAGCGGCTTCCGAAGCACCTGGAGCAGCCCCCCCGCGGGCGCAGGCTTTCTGAGTTGTTTTTGACGGTAGGTGCTGGAGGGTCGTGGCCGAGGCTCCGTCGAGCTGAGGCTTCCGCTAAGGTCCAAGTTTGTGTGCTATGCCCTCGCTGCAAGAGACGTAAAGAGTCAGCTTCCCACCGAATATGGGAATGCGATCACAACGTCAATCACCCTATCTATACCAAGTCGGACGAGGTGTACCTGCTAGTGGCATTTCAACATGAGTCAGCCCCAGCGTACTGGCTCCGTGGAGCTATGCCAGCACAGTGGACTGCAGTACCCGAGCCGCCTGATGAGGAGGTTTGGTCCCAGACGGGGCTCAACGAGAGTGTGGCTGATGGAGTCCTAGGTCCAGGTGAATGTGCCAGGCCAGTGCTGCTCTTTGGCGACGCTAGTAGAGGGGCTGATTCACCAGACGGGAGGTTCAGACGTATCAGACGTATCAGTCTCGGTCTCGCACTGATGGAAAGTGAAACGGACCCTCAGCTGCAAGTATACATCTTTGGAGCTCTCTCAGGTGTTGTCCTGACGGTGGCCAGGGGTGAGCTGAATAGCTTCTGGGTAGCCATGCGGGTGATGGAACAATATGTAGAGTATGTAACAGACAGCCAGATGGTGCATGAAGGTTGGTGGCCTCAGAAATACCGTCATCCAACTGGAGAGCACGACGAGTTGTGGGCGAAGATAGGGTTGCTGTTTCGTAACACGGGAAGGCGACCCGAGCATGTGACAGTATTATTCACGAACCCGTATCTGGAGGCCGAGGAGGTCGTGCATCGAGCTGGATCTTCTAGGATGACGGTGGGCAATGCAGCAGCGGACACGTTGGCAGGTGAAGGTGCGACCATCGCCCGCATACCTGAAGCTGCTTGCGCAGATATTCTGGAAAAGGAGCGGGTGTTGAATCTCATCCGCATGAGGATTGTCAGGTCCCACCTCGACGCCATGGAGGCCGAGAAGACGATGCAGCAGGCCCCGCTGTACGGTCGGCACCAGAGGCGAGGAGCTCGGGGGCGGAGGGAAGTGTTGGAGATCGGTGAGCCTGCCGTTGCTGCCCAGCTCGACCCTCCGCCCCCCCCTCCGCCTCCGAGTCAGAATATTCTGTCGGCCTTTGAGACGAGCCATGATCGATCGGAGTGTGGTAGGCGTTGTCCGTGGCGCCGCGGGTCCGCGTCGGCTGCGCGAGTATCGGTCTGGCGTAAGTCTCAGTGTTTCAGGTTAGTTGCCATGGAATGCTCCCTTCGTGCACTTCCTGAGGGGGCCACCATTCACATCGCTGGGGGGTGTGTGGGTCCCTACCATTTTTTGAAGTTTCATGCCGTTTTTATGCTGTGGTTTTGCGCGTGTTGTGGGATGCATGGGGATCTGCAGCTTTGCGGCCTCGAGAAGGCTTGTGTCCCCCGCCCCACCGCGACGAGGAGTGAATACTTTCTTTTGATTATGTTGGGGCAATGGCCCAGAGTTTACAGTAAAGCGGAATTAGCTCGTAAAGCCCTGATGAGGTGTAGGTATGAGTGGAAGGACTACGTCCAGGGACTCCAACTCCAACTCCAACTCCTACCTATGTTCTGTTTCTTCCTCTCCCTCCTCTTACCACTCCGTGCTCCTCCCCTTCCTCCTCCTCCTCCTCCTCCTCCTCCTCCTCTGCCTTTTCTTCCTCCTCCTCTGCATCTTCCTCCTCCTCCTCCTCCTCTTCCTCCTCCTCCTCCACTTCCTCCCTCCGAGCTCCCACAGGAGACTTCCGGAGCTGTGCAGAAACTGTAAGAGGGCCCCAGGAAGTCTCCAGCAAGCAGCACGCCAGAGTGCCCACACAGGGCTTCCAAGAGTGTTTAATCAATCAACACCAAGAGGAACACCAATGTGTTTTTGCTCCTCTTCTGATATCCCCATTTGTTGCGAAGACGTGGTTCCGAGATGGCCTCGGAGGCCCAAATGGTCCCGAAGAGAGTTGCACGATTGCCAAAGGAGGGCCCAGGACTGCCGCGAACACCACACCCAGTGCGACTTCAGACACCAACGCACGGGCTTCCAAAGTCAAGAACCCGATCATCCATCCAAACACGGTCCCTCTGACGCGCAATACGCTCGGCCCCACGGCAAGGAAAACTCGAACGCGGGTGAAGCGCGCTCGCAATGCTTCTAGTTTTAAGTCGGGCCTGTCCCGCTACAGGAGAAATCTTCAAAACAGTAAACAAATAGTCTGGGGACTATGGTTCGACTATGTCTGGCCATTCTCCGAGTATGCTTGGGGTATGCTTTTTATGTTGCCTCCAACGTCGGCTTGTAGAGGGGGACACGCCCGACTGTGGCGCACCTTCTGTGACGCCCAGTCTCCAAAGCAGCAGATCTGCAACACCTTCTGTGGCGCCCTGGCCATCCACCCGCTCGGCCCCCTCGTGTGGGCCCCCGCACGCGGGCGGTGCCCGTCTCTGCCTCTTCCTCGAGATTCAGCCGAGATGGCCCCGCGCCTGGCCGCGCCAGCAACCGCCGTGTCCGCGATCGGGGCCCGGGGCAGCCATCGCCGAGAGGGTCTTCCTCCTCCTCCTCCTCCTCCTCCTCCCCCTCCTCCCCCTCCTCCCCCTCCTCCTCCCTCCTCCATCTCCTCCTCCTCCTCCTCCTCTTCTCCTCCTCCTCCTCCTCCTCCTCCTCCTCCTCCTCCTCCTCCTCCTCCTCCTCCTCCTCCTCCTCCCCCTCCCCCTTGGTTTTGGCCGTTGGCCACGTTGGCCGTTGGCCAGGGCACGTTGGCCCGCGCTTTGCTGAGCGCCACGGTTTTGTTCTGCCTTTTGGGCCTGCAACATTCCTCCTCCTCCTCCTCCTCCTCCTCCTCCTCCTCCGCGAACAAGTCACGACGGAATGCTTTGGGCAGAATTAGCCTTCCAGGAATCTTTCTACAGGACCCCGAGGCTTTCGAGAGCGATTCGGGACAAAGCACGGTCCAGGGGACTGCTTGGCGGGGAAGTCAGCGTTGTGAACAAGCAAACGTGACGTTGGAGTTCTGGGAGGAAGGGGGAACGGCCATTGGATGGTCCTTCCCGAAAGCACGCACGCTTCTGAGACACAGCTTGACGATGCAGGATGGAGGAAGAGGAGGAGAAGGGGAGGAGCTGTAGGAAGAGGGGAGCTGCCCGGGTCTGGAAGAGGAACGGTGTTGAAGTGTCGTGCTGATGCTGTTTTCTCCATTCTCCTGTTCATCCGTCAATCGCTCGTCTTCGGACTTGAAGATCCGCCGCTTATCTTCTGAGACATGTGTTTCTGACTCAGTTCTGTTTTGCTTTCCAGGTGTCGTTCGACTGTGACGGACATCACAGTCATCTTTGGAAGTTTGAGCCACGGGAAGTCATCAGCAGGGAGGACGGGCAAGCGTCTGGGAACGGCTGCCAGGGCCGTAAGTTGCGTCTGGGTGCGAGTGCGCATGCTACCTCGCCTGGTGCCCGTCCCGACCCGCCGGTCGTTGTTACTGGCTGCTCCCTCCTGGGCAGGCGGTCGAGAAGGGCAAGCAGGAGATCGATTCGCTGAAAGACAAGGCCACCACACGCGGTGCCGTCACAAGCTGAGCTGCTCCGCGTCTCCCCTCAGCTTGTGGGATCCGCTAAGCCAAGGCCTAGCCGCTTCAGCACCGAACGTTCACAAGCAGTCTGTGATCACACTGTTCAAGGCAGCCGAGATGCATGGCATGGCCGTGCAGGATCCGCCTTTTGTGTCCCGGCCCCCTCATCGAATTTTGAGAATGGCATCATGGCACTTGGCATACCCGTCGTACTCTGTGCCTCGGTTGGTCTATATTCTCCTCGAGACTGGCCGTGCCAACCGCTTGCGCCGTGCCAGAGTCGTGCAGCCTGGCGAGGCGGCTGCCGCCGCGGCCAGCCACGGCCCCTGGCAGCACTGATGCTCCTGCCTTGCCGGTGTGCCGCCCGGCTCTGGCACGGAGAGCGTGGCGCGGCTCCTCCTCGTCCTCCTCCGCCTCCTCCTCCTCCTCCTCCTCCCTCCTCCTCCTCCTCCTCCTCCTCCTCCTCCTCCTCCTCCTCCCCCTCCTCCCCCTCCTCCTCCTCCTCCTCCTCCTCCTCCTCCTCCTCCTCCTCCTCCTCGTCCTCCTCCTCCTCCTCCTCAGGCTGCGACGGGGCAGCTGTCGGCGGAGGGGCCCGCCGAGGCAACGGCCGCCCTCCCGGGCGTGGGTGCGTCCTCCCTCTGTGTGGCCTCCCGGAGGCGGCCCGTCGCCCGGGGCGGGAGGCCCGCCTCGGACGGCGGGCCAGGGCGGGGCCGGACGGCAGGGCTGCCGTTGCCTCCATTGGTCTGTGCCTCCTGGGCCGCTCCGAGGCCCGCCGTGTGCTCTCTCTGTCGACCTCGATCGGGCCTCCGGGCCGCCACGAGACGACCCGAGGGTCCCGAGGAGGTTCCACGAGGCTCTCACGAGGAGCCCAAGGAATCCCCAGAGGCCCGCAGGGGCCCGCGGCTACGCCCCAGGCACACACAAGTGGGCACTGGCCGGAGCTTCGGTCGACGGAGCGAGACCACTCAAGTCTGTGCCTCCTAGCTGGGGTCGGAGCAGACGAGGTCGGAGGATCGCGCCGCATCGCTGATGCATCGCCGGTGCGGCTCGGTGTGGGGCCCGGCTTTCTCCACGCTGGCGTCGCCGATGCATCGCTGGCGTCTCCGGTGCATCGTCGACGCATCGCCGATGCATCGACGATGTACCGGCGATGCGGCGCGATCCTCCGACCTCATCTACGCCGTCCCCATCCAGGAAGCCTCTAATTGGCTCTCCTCAGAAAGCGGCGAGCTTGTGGCCGTCCCGCAGGGGCCAACAATGGCAGCGCTGCAGCCATGCTATCCTGGCCTAGGGCTGGCTCATGAAGCGGCCCACCTTCATCCTGAGCTGGTGCTCGTATGTCTTGGGGGCTGCCAGAGACGGCCCGAGGGCGGTCAACGGCCATCTGGATTCGACGCCGTCACCTAGCGGGACCGCCCTCCAGTTTCCGAGAGGTGTCCCCCGTTCGATGTCGTCGCGGGATGCCCGATTCGATCTGGCTAGTGTTGGTTGTGACCATTATAGGCATGCGATCGAAGTGCACACGAACAAATACAGGGGCACGCTTGGCTGTACAGTGCAGCATGGCATGCGCATATGGGATTGACTCTATTCGACTTGAGTGGCTGGAAGTCTGCCGGTGCCGCTTCGGTCCGTCGGCGGCCCCCGACCCGTTGACGATGAAGCGATGCCTTTCCTCGCCAGAGGGTGAACTGCCGCCAGCATTCTGCATCAGGGAGATGGTGGGAAGCTCTTGAGAGCTCATCTGCAGGCGCCGAACACAGTCTAAGTATTCGCATGCCGACGCAGATGGTTCACAGCTTGTGCCGCGGGCCGGACGCTGCGGCGGCCGCCCGCGACGTTTTCGTTGGCGACTGCTGCATGATGCACGGCCGAGGTCCGAAGTCCGAGGTGGCCGTGTCGCGGTGCGGCCTGGTTCGCCACGCGCTCTGCGGGACGCCCTCTCTTCCGTGTGTGGCGAGGTTTTTGGCCGAGGCTCGAGGTGATCGCCCGAGCACGCGGCGTGCCTTCTGGCTTGGGATTGGTGACGCTGGACGGAAGGTGGAGGAAGTAAGATGGAGCAGGAGGGAGGAGGGAGGAGGAGGGAATTGGATGGAGAGAGGAGAGAGCGAGGGGAGGAGGAGGAGGAGGAGGAGCAGGAGGAAGAAGGAAGAGGGCGAAGGATGAGGATGAGGATGAGGAGGAGGGCGGCGCAAGATGGTGGTAAAGATGGGATGCGGACGAGGAGGAGGAGCAGAGCGGGTTGGAGCAGAAGGAGGGGGATGAAGAAGGAAGCTGGAGAAGAATTTGAAGTAATATAGTTTTTGGGCGCCTCGACCCCGTTAGTGGGCTCAGTTTCCTGGAGTCACCACCCTGAAGGGCACATTGCCCCGAGGTGCGAATGGCCTGGGGCTGTGGTCAAGACCTCACGGAACGATGACGTTCTGTGCTAGGTACTTGCCAGAGTCGCAGGAAGGCCGCAAGAGGGTCCCAAAAGGGCTGGGCTGGTCACAGGGTAGTCCACAACTGACATCAACAGCGCACATCTTCATGAGGAGGAGGAGGCGGAGGCGGAGGCGGCGGCGGAGGAGGAGGAGGAGGAGGATGACGGCGCAGGAGGGTGAACAGGAGGGGATGTGGAGGAGAGGGGGGAGGGAGGAGGGGAGGGGAAGGAAGTGGGGGCGGGTAGAAAGGGGGAGTGTAAAGGCAGTAAGGATGGAGGGGCAGAGAGGGACGGGCAAGAAAGCAGGACGGAGGATGGAGTGGGAGGAGGAAGCGGGTGGAAGCCAGAGGGTGGAGGCAGGACGCAATCTGCAGGAGGGGGAATCTCAGAGGCAGCCAGCTCGATGTTCGTCTGGCATGCGGCCTCTGCCATGAGGCGGCCGTCGGCCATGGCCACCCGTCGATGCAGCGGGAGAAGCTCCTCCCGCCGACGCCGAGGGGGGGAGGAGAAGGGGTAGAGGAGGCCCAGTGCCCGAAGCTCGTCAGCTTGTCAGCCTTGCGGCTTGGCGGTGGCGGCAGCCTGCTTGGGCCTGCCCGTGCAGGTCAGCGGGCTGGAGAAGGAGGAGAAGTCCCTCGTTAAGGCGACTGGCGCCCGCCCGGGCGTGCCCCTCCTTTCTGCCCCCTTCTGGCTGTCTGTCTGTCTGTCTGGCTGTCTGTCTGGCTGTCTGTATGTCTGTCTGTCTCTCTGTCTGTCTGTCTGTCGGTCGGTCTGTCTGTCTGTTTGTCTGTCTGTCTGTCTGTCTGCCTGTCTGTCTGTCTGTCTGTCTGTCTGTCTGTCTCTCTCTCTCTCTCTGCTTGCAGAGGGTGAGATAGCAGCAAGCACAGCAAGAAGAGGAGCAGGAGGAGGAATCAGGAGGAGGAGGAGGTAGTAGGAGGCTGGGCATCAACTTGGAATCTCGAGCAGAGGTCGGGACTCCTGGTGGGCCTCCACGGATAAGCCCTTTGATGCGAAAGAGTGGTTTTCTGATGGCGAGTCTTTATCTGAGGTGCCTCCGTGTCTCCAGAAGTAGGAAGAAGGATCATGAGGAGGAAGACACGTAGGAGGATGATGAGGACCAGAGGCGCTTGTGCGTGCTTGTTTGTGAGCGCGTCTTCGCTTTAGTGAATACGCGTGAGCCTATTTGGGATGACTCCCAAAACGCCTGTAAGCGTTTGCGAGCGCAACTGTGGGGGCGCCAGTGAATCACGATGACGGCGACGGCCTCGGAGGATAGTGGAGGAGGAGGAGGAGGAGAATGAACACAACGGTCCCCGCAGGGAATATCGCTTCGGTGTATCGAGCCTTCTGTCAGCGGTCCTTACTCCTCTTCCCGCTTGATATCGCATTGGCCTCCATGTCTATCTTTCCAAGGCTCCGCTGCCAACCAGTCTCAACATCCCGTCTGGCCCGCGTTGCGGCCTGCCAGCGACCGTGTTCGCCACCACAACACATACTAAGGCATCTCATCATATACTCCAGATTTCGTAATAAAAGGGAGGGGGTCTCAACCCTCCCAGACGAGAAGTTTTAGACCCCCCCCCGTGGGAGAACCCTTCAAAACATCGTCCCCAGACCCCTCCAGGCCCTCCAAGATAGCCTGGAAGAGACCCCCCCCCCGAAATGAGACCCCCTCCCTTTTATTACGAAATCTGGAGTACTCTGTCATGGTAAAATGTCGCACCTCGTTCAGATGGCATGTCTGCCCCCCTCTTGCGTCTCAATGAACCCCCGCGCGAACACAGAGTGACAATTGAGGGAGGAGGGCAGCGGGCAAAGCAGGCGGCGTGGACATGTAGAACTTTCTCGGTGACCATCCCCTGACCAGGGCGCCCGCTTCTCCCGTGAAGTATATCCTTCACAAGTTATCTTTTCTCCGTATGCACTTCGTACCGGATTGGACGCTGGAGCGCACTGTACTATGGTCTTGCGTCTCCTATGACTAGACTCGGAAGGGTCCTAACCTTGGACGAACACGTTTGCAGCCGAATATCTGTCGCCATCAACACCTGTCTTGCCTTGGCCTGAAGGCTCGGCCGCCTTTCGAAGCAGGCGTCGGACTCGTGATCAGCGGCGTCGGCATAGTCTTGTGCCTCCGCTCGAAATGCAATCATCTAAATCTGAAGCTCCTCGTAAGCTCAAATTGGCGACGAATCCGCTAATCCTTGATCGCTTAAGTCGCTGAGACCGGTTGAAACGTGTTGTTACTCTGATTACGCGCTCGGCTTGCTAGGGAAGTTTACCAACCGCTCTATCAGCGTTTGCTGTTAGATCTGATGGATGAATAGGGCCTGCGCCGTCCACTGGTTGATCCTTCTCGGCGACTGGCCTTTTCTGGCCGTGGCTCACTCGGCTTCCTGTCGCTGTCGTGGCTCTTCTGGTCGACTTGATCCGTCCATTGTGGTTTCAGTGGTAGGCCCGCCACAAAAGCCAAACACCATGTCGAAGTTCTGCGAAGAGACATATTTGCGAAAGGAGGACTCACTTGGCTTAGGCTTCCCCAGCGCTGAATATTCAGCCGCTGGCACCTGATACCTCGACGCTGCCTCAGCATCGGATCCTTCTGATGCTGAAAACCATATTGTCTTCGTATCTGCCGTTCTGGGACTGCCAGTCGCACATGCTTGGTTATCTTCCATTCTGCCCACTGACGGTTGTTCATGAACTCCTCCAAGCATCGTAATTGGCGAGCGTCTTCAGCAATGCCAGCTACGTGCAGCAAATCAGTGATTCAGTGAAATGCCACCACGATAATTTTTTTTCTTTTCCAATCACGCAGACTTGGAGATCTTGCCGAGGCGCTTCAAAGACTGCCCATTGAGACAACAACTCTCTATACTGCATGCGTCCTCTTCGAGCGCATCGATGCTGGACTTTGTTGTTCGGTGACGTCTCCGCGACTCTTGGCGATGGCCCGACACCTGCCTGCACACCCTCCTTTGTATCCTTCTGTTGAAGGTGCTTGTCATAACCTCGCTAGATGTTTGGACCACCGCAGTGCTTCAGATTGGCGGGCTCTCTGGCGTCGCTCTCGTCCCGTTTTGCAAGATGGGAGTTTGGAGGCCGATCCACACCAACACCCTCTCGCCAGGATCGGTCATCGTGTGGAGAAACAGCTCGTCGACATCCGTTCGGGACCTTGCGTATGTCAGAAGAGCCCCTAATTGGACTTTGATGTTTCTTCAGCTCATTCGGATACACCGTGTGCGGAATGCGCGCTGCCAGCGGCTCGTTCTCACCAGAGGCACTTCGCAGCCACCTCGGACCTACGAGTCGGCCCCTCCCGTCCTGCTGCGTCATTACTGGCGAGTGCGCGGGTGACAATTTCTGCCAGCGTCGTCATTGGCATTGGCAGTGGTTCTCTCGAAGGCTCTCTGGGTCGCGGGTCTCCATCATCAGGTTCTTCATCATCGCTGCCGCGACGACGCTTCCTCCCGTAGGCCGCACCGGGCCAGCCGAGCACTGCTACTCGGTCGCGGCGCAGTATTCGCCTCCAGGGGGCGGAGTCCCCTCTGGTGGTTCGAAGGGTTGGCCTGCGACGTACCCCTGCAATCATCGGGTCGTTGCCTTCGAGATGGGCCGCTCTTTCGCCGTTTGAGGCCTTGATTGGTCTGGGTTGCGGCCTCAGCCTCGAAGCTAGCTGAACGCCGCTCGAAGCAAGCGCTCCGACGATCCTCTGGGGCTCCTTTGAGGTCCTCACCAGGTAGCCGTCCATGGGCGTCGACAGGGGCGGGGCGATCTCCACGACGACACGCGAGTAGCTCCGGCTGAGTGTGGCATCGCGTTCGCTTGGGGCTCGACCGTGCTTACCCAAGATGCCCACTCCCGACTCATCTGGGCATGGACGCACTCGTCGATCGACTGTAGTTGTTCTAGTCTGTGTTCTCCGTCGGTGTACTGATGCTCTGATGTTCTGCGGTCCCTCTGTACCAGCGCCTTCTTTTAAGTGCTCCACCCGAGCCCTTCGGGGTGGTCGGACGCTGGCTTCCTGGCTTCGGGGGAAGTCCTTCCGAGGTCATGCCGCACTCCTGCTGGACCAGGAGCCACCTCGAAGGTGGTTTCCTGCCGGCGATCAGATGCTCTGGGCCATCGAGCGAAGAGAGCGTCGTGGCGACCCGTTGCCCACTTAGGTGTGCTCATAGCCACGATCCCTGTTCAGCGCCCATGGGAAGTGAAGCTGAATGGTATCCAGCAGCATTTCGGCCTGTCTCAGCAGACGTCGCCACTGACCAGGATCTGCAGAACAGTCGGGCTCCGCTCCTTCTCCAGCTTCCGCCTTCTCGAAGCCTCTCTGCGCAGCAGACTCGCTCGCCGAACGGTAGCCTACAGCGGACGCCCGTGCTCTTCTTGGCCAGCACTCGTCGGCCATAGCGACGGCTTCGTGGCTCCCCTCTTCCGTCTTGGAGTCCACGCCTCCCTGGAAGTCTGATCGGGTGCGTGGTTCATCTCGCTCTTGCCAGCATTGCTCTGGGTGCAGCACTTCCGTGCTCCACGACGAGAGTGTCGAATACTATCGGCCTGAGGTATAAGCTCGAGATCGGTTCGGGGAGGGCACCCTGATGGTCTTCCTTCAGGAGGGGAAAAACACACAGGCACAGTGAATCGTCGATTCCCAGAAAATGGGAAAATATGGGAAGTGGGGGGGAAGACAGAAGCCCAGAAAATATGTGGAAATATTGAGAATATTGTTATTTGTGTGTATTTATTTGTGTGTCCCAGGGCCCCTTCAAATCTACCAGGAGGGAAAGAAGCACACAGACACAATTAATCGTCGACTCCCAGGAAAACATACGGGCATATGGGAAGTGGGGGGGAAGACGAAATCCTAGAAAATATGGGAAACTGTGGGGGCTCATGTTATTTGTGTGTATTTCTTCGTGTGTCCCTGGGCCCCCTCAATCTATACCTGACCAGCGCCCTGGAGGATCAGTTTTCGGTACCCCAGCAGGCCGTGGATGTGGACATATTCGGCCCCCCGGGGGCAAACATGTATCCATATCCACCGCCCGCTGCGGCACCAGGACCTCGGTTCCCAGGCGGTGGATATGGATGAACCCCCGCCTCGCAGCTCCCGAGCTCGAAGCGTTACGATCGTAATGGGCACATGAAGAGTCGGTACGATGCCCAGAAGCATTTCTTGCCCAATCTGGACAGGGCTTGCTGTCGGTGTCGCCGCAGGCGTTCTCTGCTTTGAGACACAAGCCCGCCTGCCCAACAGCGGCCGCTCTCGGTTTTGGACAACATTCGTTGTTGTTGTCGTCGTTGTTGTTGATGAGGTTGTGGTTGTGGTTGTGCTTGTGGTTGTGGATGTTGTTGTGATTGTTGCCGTTGTTGTTGCTGCTGTTGTTGTTGCTGTTGCTGCTGTTGCTGGTGTTGTTGTTGTTGTTGTTGTTGTTGTTGTTGTTGTTGTTGAACATTATTTATTCTAAAGAATAATTATTGTTGGGCCCCCTGGTGCGCGCCCCCCCTGCGCCGCCTAGGCCGCAGCTACATTTTCATCATTTTCGTGAGGAAGCCTCAGAAAAGAGGGTGTGTACAGGATCCGGTTGTTTTGTTGTAATCCGCTTTCCCTTGCAAAAAACAATAGAAAATGACATTTCTTGTTC